ATGTGGGAGGAGACGGACAGGTGGAGAGGAGGAGACGGATAGTTTAGGGAGGCGGGGACGAGCTGGGCTGGTTTTGGGATGCGGTCGGGTGAGGGGAGATTTTGAAGTCGTCTCAACCTCTCCACCCCTCTCACGCACTCCAACTTCTCCCCCACAGAACGTGCAGCCCTCCGCTCCAACCCCAACCTCACCATAAAACCCGCGGACCGTTCCACATCGCCGAGGCCAGACACCAGCTCTCCGACACCTCCTCCTACTGCCCTCTTGATTATGACCCCACCCCCGACCACCAAAACATCATCTCCCAAACCATCCACAACCTCATCATTTCAGGTGACCTCCCACTCACAGCCTCCAACCTCGTCGTTCCCCAACCCCACACAGTCCGTTTCTATCTCCTTCCCAAAATCCACAAACCTGACTGCCCTGGTCGACCCATTGTCTCCGCCTGCTCCTGCCCCACCGAACTTATCTCCACTTATCTCGACTCCATTTTCTCCCCCTTGGTCCAGGAACTCCCCACCTACGTCCGTGACACCACCCACGCCCTCCACCTCCTCCAAAACTTCCAATTCCCTGGTCCCCAACACCTCATCTTTATCATGGACGTCCAATCCCTATACACTTGCATTCCCCATGCAGATGGCCTAAAGGCCCTCCGCTTCTTCCTGTCCCGCAGGCCCGACCAGTCCCCCTCCAATGACACCCTCATCCGCTTAGCTGAACTCGTCCTTCATCCTTAACAACTTCCTCCCACTTCCTACAGACAAAGGGGGTGGGCCATATGTACCCGCATGGGCCCAAGCTATGCCTGCCTCTTTGTAGGATACGTGGAACAATCCCTCTTCCGAAGCTACACTGGCCCCATCCCCCACCTCTTCCTCTGTTACATCGATGACTGTATCAGCACCTCCTCACAGTCCCACGAGGAGCTCGAACAGTTCATCCACTTCACTAACACCTTCCACCCCAACCTCAAATTCACCTGGACCATCTCCAATACCTCTCTCTCCTTCCTGGACCTTTCTGTTTCCACCTCTGGCAACCACCTGGAAACCGATATCCATTTCAAGCCTACCGACTCCCACAGCTACTGAGAATACACCTCCTCTCACCCACCTTCCTGCAAAAATGCCATCCTCTATTCCCAATTCCTTCACCTCAGCCGCATCTGCTCCCAAGATGAGGCATTCCACTCCTGGACATCCCAGATGTCCTCGTTTTTCAAGGACCGCAACTTCCCCTCCACAGTGGTCGAAAACACCCTCTACCGTGTCTCTCGCATTTCCTGCAACTCATCCCTCACACCCCCACCCAGCAATAACAACCAAAACAGAATTCCCCTCGTCCTCGTGTACCACCCCACCAACCTCCGGATCCAACGCATCATCCTCCGGCACTTCCGCCATCTGCAATCTGACCCCACTACCAAAGACATTTTTCCCTCCCCACTCTTATCTGCTTTCTGGAGGGATCACTCTCTCCGTGACTCCCTTGTCCGCTCCACACTCCCCACCACTCCCGGCACTTTTCCCTGCAACCGCAGGAAGTGCTACACCTGCCCCTACATCTCCCCCCTCACCCCCATCCCAGGCCCCGAGAAGACCTTCCACATCAAACAGATGTTCATCTGCACATCTGCTAATGTGGTATACTGTATCCGCTGTTCCCGATGTGGTCTCCTCCACATCGGGGAAACCAAGCGAAGGCTTGGGGACCGCTTTGCGGAACACCTACGCTCCGTTTGCGACTAACGACTGCCCCTCCAGTCGCGAACCATTTCAACTCCCCCTCCCACTCCTTGGACGACATGTCCATCCTGGGCCTCCTGCAGTACCACAACGATGCCACCCGAAGGTTGCAGGAACAGCACCTCATATTCCGCTTGGGAACCCTGCAGCCCAATGGTATCAATGTGGACTTCACAAGCTTCAAAATCTCCCCTCCCCCAACTGCATCCCAAAACCAGCCCAGCTCATCCCCGCCTCCCTAACCTGTCCATCTTTCCTCCCACCTCAAGCCCCATCCCCATCGCCTACCTACCAGCCTCATCCCGCCTCCTTAACCTGTCCGTCCTCCCTGGACTGACCTATCCCCTCCCTAACTCCCCGCCTACACTCACCTTTACTGGCTCCATCCCCGCCTCTTTGACCGGTCTGTCTCCTCTCCACCTATTTTCTCCTCTATCGATCTTCTATCCGCCTCCCCCTCTCTCCCTATTTATTTCAGAACCCCCTTCCCCTCCCCCATTTCTGAAGAAGGGTCCAGACCCGAAACGTCAGCTTTCCTGCCCCTCTGATGCTGCTCGGCCTGCTGTGTTCATCCAGCTCTACACCTTGTTATCTCTGATGATGGTCAAGGGGTGTTTTTGTGTCGGGTCCAATGGGATTCCACAGGGAATAGTGTTGGGGGTCCTTGCTGTTTGTAGTATACATGTATAGGACAATTAATCATTAAATTTGCAGGTGATACGAAAATTGGTGCGTGGTAAATAGTGAGGAGGATAGACAGATTACAGGTGGATATAAACGGGCTCATCAGTGGTAAATGGAATTCACTCCAGATAAGTGTGAGGTGAGGCACTGGAGTAGCACAAAGCGAGGAAATATGAATGGTAGGACACTGGGAAGCACCGAGCATCAGACGGACCTTGATGTTCATGTCCACTGGACCCTTAAGGTAATGGGACAAGTAGATAAAGTGGTTAACAGGCATATGGGATCCTTGCCTTTATTAGTCGATGCAGAGAATTTAAGAGCAGGAAGGTGATGCTAGAACTGCATAAAAAGCTGATTAAGCCACACTAGAGTACTGTGTGCAGCCCTAAATCCACATTAAGGAGGGGTGTGTTTGCACTGAAGAGGGTGCAGAAGATATTTACCAGGATATTGCCTGGGCTGGAGAGTTTTAGTTATGAATTGAGATTGGATAGAGTATGGTTGTTTTCCTTGGAGTAGAGGAGACTGAGGGAGGACATGATGGAGATATATAAAATTATGAGGGGCACAAACAGGGTAGACAGGATGGAACTTATTCCCTTGACAGAGAGATCAGTGACGAGGAGACATTGATTTAAGGCAAGGGGCAGGAGGTTTACA